TTTTTTAGTCAGAAACTCTCCCATGCATAATCACACAAGCTGCACAAATATTAGAAACACTTAGCAACACAGGAAGTTATAAGTTTGTTAATTCTGTTAGATCCAAGACAAAGACAACTGAGGGAGAAACGAGGCAAAGAAGAGAAGGGAGGAGTTAATGTTTAGTCACATCGTCCATTTATTATCAGAATCATTTCAGACGACACTGGGACGAGTTATTCAACAAAAAAACAAACATAGGTAGCAGGTAGTGTTAATATGCACACACACTGTTTATTTAGAGACGCACGTCCTCTTACAATAGTCAAAGAAGTCGTACAGGTAACAGTCAGAGACAGAGAAAGTACAACAGAGTTAAAAATTGCAAGTAAGAAGCAGGCAGTTAAAGTGTTAATAGTTTTTAGTTTATATACACAACAGTCAACTTGTTGAAGTACGATACGCTGCAGACACATGGTGCTGTAACAGTTATCATTCAGTGGCTTGATGGAAAAGTTTCGGTCGGTGCTGACATCATTCATTTAGTAAAATGTTTTTGTTAAATACTGCACGAAATTTAAGAAAATATTGGATGATTAAGAGAGATTGTGTGTTTCAAAGTGCGTTGGATCTTTCGCCGACAAGCAACAAGGGGAGGGAGAAAATGAGTGAGCTTTCCGATGCTGCCACGTCCGTTAAAAACATCCGCAAATACACGTCAAGGACTGTATATCAATTATTGGCGAGGAAGAAGGAGTCCGAAAAGGGGATGTTATGCCATATTACACAATAAACAACATAGTACAGAGTAAATAGCAAAAATCTTGGCGAACTTACTCGAGCAAACGTGTGCCCGGCTAGCTTGCATGTTAGCCGTTAGCTCTCAAGCCATAATGTTACAACGTTATGTCTGTTATGTCAATTCTGAGACATTCTTTTGGCCCATGATAATAAAAACGTAATGAATGTACTCAACACAAAGTGTGTCGACTGGAAATTCAATTTTAATATCATAATTTATAAGTCACAAATTGGCAATTTGGGTAATTTAGAAACTTCCGATCCATCAACAATATCATGGCTCCGGTTGAAAAATGAGTCAGGAGGAATGTTTTTTCTGGATCAAACAAAAGTTTAAAACCACATTTGAAAAGGATGTTGCTGTTTTAAAGTAAAGACCACAATCCGCCCCCCCGATTCAAATAATTTGTACACAGCCCCTTAAATCTACGAAATAGAAAAGGTTTAAAACCATTCCCTGTTTCTGGTCTTTGGTTTGAACGAAACCCAAACAGTCGATAGAATCTGTAGAAGACGATCTTTGGGGAAATAATTCTTCAGAATGTTTCTTTGGGCCAATTTTTGCCTCCGAGTTCGTGTTAGCAACAACTTGGCTCTTTCATCCCAAACACGGTTGTCCAACGATTTGACCGACATCATTTTCATTTACTGTGCTCGACCGGGGGGGGGGGGTCAAATAAAAACCAGGCGTCAGACCTGACATCATATCGGAGCATAACATGGGCCATTGAATTTACTTTCAGGCAACGGACAAACCAACACGTATATTGTCGTCAAGCGTTTTGCCCAAACATGAATCCAGCCAATGTGAGGTGTTTGTCTTGAATGTCACTTCATGCACTGTTGTCATGAATTAGTAGAATATATATATATAAATATATATATATAAATACATATATATATATATTTATAATACTGATATTAACATTATTGGACAATACTAAATATCAATTATTCACATACACTGGTACAGAAGTAAACAAAAGCAACAGGGCTTCAGAGGACCTGAGCAACAGCCACTCATGCACTAAAAACAAAGAACCAATCTAATATAGGCCAAATCATGATACATTAGATTACCATAAGCAAACATTTGAAATTACAAATACTGTATATACAGTAGTACACATTATCAAAAATGTCCATCTTCCACTGCAGGTTGTACTGCAGTTTGTACTCCATGTGGTAATATACACTGAAACTTTGGAGTAATGTCTCTCTCTCTCATCATGAGAATATAATACTGTGTGTGAGTGCTCAGCAAAGTAAAATCTAACAAAATAGATCCAGCTTAAAAAAATACCCTCTGCATTGTTGTCCAACATAATACAAAAAATACAGATTACTGACATAAGCATTGCACTATTGCTCTGGGAATTCTGTCATAAATTAAAAGGGAAAAAAAAGAGAAGCAGTAAAAAATAAAACGAAGGTACAACGACAGCAAAAAGAGGATTGAAATCACTGGGAAGAGAAAGTGCATAATCTCGCTTTTAATTCAAAATAAAAGCTTCACTTGATCAATCTCTCGATCAAAACAGAGAAATGACTCGAGGATCATTTACTCTCAGTCACAGTTATCGCAGCTTCACAGTTTCCCCTTCACGGCTTAACAACGACAAATAAAGAGCTCCACCGCCACTGAACACACGTGCGTGAACAACAGGTCCTAAAACAATTAAAGAAAGTACGGCCAGGTCAGATTTAGTTGATCACAGGCCTGTTGGCTGCACCGCCCTGTGATCATCGATTTGGCTTTTATCACGTAGTCGTCTGTGCTACAGATACTGAGCTGCAAAGTTAGAGGCCTGACAACAGAAGTTTTCCAATGTTTCATTTATCAAGAATTTTAAAAAATGATTCTAGATTATGTGATGATCCTATAAGTTTATGTTGAAGTCTCTGTTTTGTTTCTAAAAATGTCAGTTCCCTCATTTGGTTTGGTGGCTTTAAAAACTACAATACCCACGAGCTTCGGCTGCGATTGCCATGGAGAAGATGCCAACAAGAGGAGCGAAGGTAAGAAAAGATGTCTTCCAGGTTTCTTCATGTTTAATTGACCCATAAGTACATATGGTAACACTTTATATTAGGGAACACACAAAGTGAAGAGAACATATCCAAGCACTTGATTGTAATTCATGTACAACAACTTCCTTACTTACTATCAATAAGGAGTAATTAGGAGGTTATTGAGTGAAATCTGTTAATTAATGGAGTAGTTGCAGAATAAGGCATTAATAAGTGTTTTATAATGACTAATAAAGAGCCAATATAACTCTAATATCCAGGCTAATAAGCAACTAGTTAATGGTTGATATGTGTTCCCTAATATAAAGTGTTACCATAGATATATATTTAACCTGTTCACTTTATGCTCTTGACGAAATGCACCATGGGAGGCGTAGTTAACTTTTAAAGTTTTTACGAACGCAGACTTTGACCTTTTCATCAAACAACCAGATCATTTTCTCGCAGTATTTAGTCTCTACTTTCTGTGATCCGAGCCACAGAGGAGTCACATTACTTTGTCTGTGAGAAAAATGAGTTCCAGAACCAAAATCCCTCCTCCTACTTTGCACGACGATAAAAAAATAACAAAACTAAACCTAGAACTTTGGTTCAGAGCACCCTGTTCCCTCTAAAACCCTCAAATAAAGAGTTGGTCCCGAAAACACTGCTGATGACTTCATTGGATACTAGAGTGCTGCTGGATATTCTTTAAAAAAGTGTCTGACTCTTTCCTGGCAGTGAACGGACTGACTGGACCTCCCAACGATAATGATTCTATTGTGGCTGAGTCAGTCGCTCAAATCTGACATCATTTGAAAGTAAACGCTGGGTTCTGGTGTGATCCTGAGAAGGGGAGCTGACTGCTGGTGGACGAGACAGTGCTGGGGAGAGGAACTCTAGAAAGATTCTGGATATGTCTGATGTTGAGATGTTAGACGTTAATGTGGTGGTGAAACATTCCTCTCAGGGACGACATGCAGAGTGTGAAATACAGGATCTCTCTCTCTCTCAGTCAGTCGAATGTCTCCCTGCACCCTCTGCACTGTGATTTCACCCGTGGTGGACTCTAGCACTCGGCTATAGTGAGACAGATAAACTCCTGAATGCATTTCTTATACTGCTGCTCAGTGGGGCTGCTGATTGGGTATTGACCTGGCTGTCCGAAGGGTCCCTCCGACTCCCGCATCTCCTCGTTCATCCTGGCCAGACGCAGCCTGAGGGACCGAAGAGGAGCAGATGGTTAGAATCTCATTGAAGCAGGAGAAAAGTGAAACGGCTTAAAGGAAATTTAATTCACTCACAGCGTGACTATGTCTGCGTTGGCCTGCTGCACTGCTATACTCAGAGGGTCCTGGCCGTCCTCGTCCCCGTCGTTCTGCGTCGCCCCTCTTTTGAGGAACAAACACACCTGCCTGGAAATACAAAGGAAAAATGAAATCAATCACACATCATCAATCAGACCTTCATCGTCCAGGATCTTGCTTCCAAACAAACCAACAAACGGACGTAATAAAATAAAGTCACACACAGAAAATAAAAGACAACACTCCTAAAATCTTTGTCATGCACGTGATACCACGCAGCCTGAAGTAAACAGTAGTGTTCTAACTCTGGACTCACCCCGTGTGTCCCAGATACGTGGCGTGATGCAGCGGGCACCTCCCCCTCGCGTCTCTTTGGTTGACGTCGGCAGCGTTCTGGAGCAGGAACTCGCAGGCGATCAATGAGCCCTGGAGTAAAGTAAGAGCAGCTCAGCACGGCGACACAAACACTGGTATTGATCTTTGGACTAAAAGGGTGTTTGAAGTGGATAATTACACATTCACTGCTGCTGACAGGAAGTTTTTTTTCTCAGTCGGGCAATTTCTGTTCATTTTTGGTGTCTTTAGGGAGGAATTGATCTTTGAATAATCAATAATCAAATTATATTTTAGCTAAATTCAATTTCTGGATTCATACTATATATTTACTAGTCTACTATGTCCCTTTAAGTACCAGTATCCGGTGCCACTCACCCCAATCACTGCCTGTATGAGGGGCGTCTTCCCTTCATCCTCATCGTTGACCGAATTGACGTCGGCCCCGTGAGCCAGCGCTTCGGCCATGACGGGCAGGTTGCGGGCCTTCGAGGCTTTGTACAGCAGCGCTCCGGGGTGAAGGTCCCGTACGTCCTCCGGGTCGGACGTCTCTGGCTCAGCCTCCAGCTCCGGTTCTCCGCTCGAGTCCTCGGACACCTCACACTCTGAGGAAAATAAAAAATGCATGTCTTTGCTTGGCTCTGTACAGTTAAACTACCGGAGTGAGCATCTGTTTCAAAGTTCTCTCTGCTGGACTCACCCTCCTCTGTGACGCTGTCCACCACGGAGCCAAACACCAGGATGTCTGTGCTGCCGTCTGTGCTGCCTCCCAACCCACTGTCACTGCTCAGGCCTGCCGGACCAGGAGACGCCACAACATGGACACATTAGTTACCGCTGTCTCTTTCAGGCTGACTGGTTTTGTTTTAAGCCACACACACACACACACACTTCTGACTGCAGAGTCAGGCGTCGTGTCCGCGCCGTCTGGCTCGACTCTGGCTGTTAAACGTGTGAGTTTCATGCAGTGGCCTGTGAAGGTCGACTTTATTGGCAGACTAAATGGCGAGGTGCTTACTTCGAGGTCCGGATCCCGTGTCAAAGTAGGAGAAGAGCGTGTCGAGCTCGTCAGGACAGAACAGGGAGTCTCGTCTGAACTTAGCAGCAGCTGTGGGACAAACGTGAAAGTGATGAGTGAGCGTAACAGCAATACATGAGAAACACGCGCAGCTGAGTTAAAGTACCTGAGGAGAGGGTCGAAGGGGAGGTGCTCCCGGGGTCTTGTCGGTATCTCCGCCGTGTTTTGGGTACGGTGGTGGCGCTGTTGTGTCGCCGACACTTCTTCACGCTCCACCGCCGCTCGGGCTTCCGCTCGCCGTTGATGAGAATCTCTGTGCAGCCCAGTTTCTTCAGGAACTTCTTCTCGACGTACTTTGCTTTAATCCAAGCTTCTTTTTCCTGCCTGCGAGGAAGCACAGCGTCGGAGAGCAGCAGATTTAAATAACGAGTTCGATTCTGTTCGGACGGTTGAGGTCTATTTGTTTAATTCCTACCTTGAACTGGACGGGGATGGTTTCTTCAGACCTTGTTCTTGGTACGAGCCTTCATAGATGTGGTTGATGACGCTGTTTCCAAGTTCACACATCAACTACAAGGATGAGACGAGACGTTAATGTTGTCCCCACTGGAACAAACTGATACACTGGACAGAAACATGTATAAATCTTCTCTCTCGACAAGACAGTCAAGTTTCTGAAAATGTCAAAATATTCCTTTAATGGATTAACATCTTCTTAATAACTCGATAATGGGCAATAATAATAAAACTAATAACAGTTTGTTTCTTATGCAAACTGTACCTTTAATAATTCTGGTTCCCACGTGTCGAGTGTGAGGGAGCGGACCTTCGAACAGTGAACCCCGAGACTCCTGCAACAGAAACATGCTTCAAGTTAAAAATATTCTGTTTATGTTCTGCGGTCAGACAAAAAGGCAAAAGTGGAAGAATGTGACTTTGTTGTGACTATGAAGCAGCAGACGACTGCAGACGTTTATTTTCTGCAAAACGAGAAAAGAGGAAATTGTTCAAGAGGTTCATCGCACTATGGTTGTGGATGGATGAGCGAACAGGTCGAGCTCTACAGATCTCTGCAGAATAGAGAGAAACAAAAACTATGAAGGACGCAAAACAACAAGACATTTCTGCACAAGGAGACACAAAATGACCAGAAACACAAAAAGACTATGGAGGGACACAAAAACAATGCAAACAAGAATGACTTCTAACTAAAAACTGAATGAGCAGAGACACAAAACAACAAAAATGAGATAGAAAATGACGATTTAAAGATTTGTAGTTGTTTTCTGTCTGAGTGTCTTCTTCACATATTTCAGGAGTGGGGGGTCTTTTCACTTGTCTTTGCCCTGGGCCCCATTTTCTCACAACCCGCCCATGACTGTGATGTGGGACAGAGAGACTTGGTTTGAAAAGCTGCGAGAACCGACAGAGTTTTCTCCTGAAAAGTGAAATGAGAGGAGCCGCTGCTAATGTCATGCAAATCACCGAGTTCCACTGATGACGCTGCCTGGTTTCCTGGCAACAGTGGCACAGTCGAATAAAAAAAAAAAACTGATAGTGTTTCTCCCTCACCCCCCCTCCCCCCTTCGTTGAGTGAGGTCTCTGCTCATTGTGACGGGGCCGAGCAGGGGACATGAATATTCAACAGGTGAGCGCACACACAGGGACGAGGCTTGTGATTACATAAGCAGTGATAATTACAAACACACACTCAAACAACTCATGAGGGGATTTTTTCCCTCTGGGAGTTTAAAAAAATAAAGTTTGTGATGCAACAATGTGATGTAATCAGGACGTGAGCGTGGTGCACTGGTGCGGATGATGAGAAACTGTGTCTGTCTGCGGCAGGAAGCTTCATTCAGCAGCGTTACGTCACGTTCAGGGACCTTTTCACGGCGTGTGTGTCTCAGCTCTGCAGCCGTCTTCTCACTTCCCTCCCTCAATGAAAAGTTTAAATCAAAGCCAGACTGATCCAACGAGCAGCTTTAATCTCCTCAGCAGTGTGTGTGTGTGTGTGTGTGTGTGTGCTTGCTGGGACGTGCTCGGGACTTTTAGCGGCACAAGGTAAGACACAGTCATCTGGCACCACTTCCTGTATTCAGAGCCAGTAACCACACGGCACGTGGAAGTGGTGGGGGAGGAAGTATCTAGATGTGTGACCGTCACT